TCAAAGGTAGATTATTATCTTCGTAGCTTAAGCTGTTTTTCTTAGCAGAAGAGTTATGGTTTAGATGACAAAATTATATTTCAAGTTGAAAAATAAAGATTTAACATGGTTTTCTAGAATTACTATTATATATAAAGGCCTCATTTTATAAATTTGATCATCGTAGCACATATGCTCACGAAGGCATATGGTCAATATATATTGGTACAATTAGCGAGAAAGATATATTAGTAACCTGAAGAGCTACTTGGGACTGGTTATATGAGCCTCTTCTTCCCCAGTCTCCGATGACGAGAAAGCTTACCGAACCATCGGGTTTCGCCGGCTGAAGTAGCCTCTGGAGCTCCGCCGTGGAACTATGGGCGGAGAAAATAATAATCAAACTATATACATAAAATATCAAGTTTATAGGTCTGTATTTTGTGGCAGCCATTGGAAAATAATTAAAGGAATTGAAGAAGATAAGGAATGGTGATTTTTTTTTTGCTAAAATGGAATGGTGGATTTTGTTGCGTGTTTCTGTCTTTTATATATGTAGTCTGTTTTGGATTTTTGGGTTGAGACATAAATTAAGATATCAGAAAATTTATTCTTCATAATTTGAAGTCTAGACATAATGATGGGGCTTGTGCATCTTTAAGCGTGTTAATTATAGGGTCTCTTAATTATATCAACCATTTGTCAAGTGATTAATTTTAATTTTTTTGTTTGCCCTGTTTTCAAATGTAACCAATAAACAAAAGACATGATTACAACGAGAGAGCGGTTGAAAACAAAATCAGTAAAATTGTTATTGCGTGGTTTTCTATCGGTTGTGAGCTGTGACCAGATTTTTATGACAAACCTAATTATTTTTTAATATTTAACATTTTGAAGAATACATTAAAATATTTGTTTGTAGATGCGATTACCAAAATACATTATACAAGATTAGCTTCGACTCGACAAATTCATGGTATGGAGAAACAAAACGTAAATTGGTGGGCTCTTCTGTCTTTTTGTAGTTAAAGCCGACAAAATCCACAACTCATCGTTTCCAAGCTTGTGGGGACTCCAACAACATGAGCCACAACTCTTGTTAATTAATACAACATGAGCCACAACTTTTGTTAATTAATTTTTAGTCATAGGGTGTGAATGGTAATGTGTTAGAATAAAAGTGTGGGAGAGAAAGGGAAAAAAAATGAGGGAAAG